TTCCTGCTGTAAGTGGGTGGTGGAGTAGGGACTCCCTGAGGTCCCTTCCACCGACACTGCAGTGACTGTATGATCCTCTATGCGTGTGCTCCAGGAGCAGCAGAGCTGCTGCTGCTCCCTTGCTTCAAAACAACCTCCTACAGCAAGGAAAGCTGGTTCTTCAAACAGAAGAGAGAGCGGAAAACTAGGGTTAGCTAGGAAACCACAGAAATACACTTATAGTCTTCCTTCCATTCACCAGGAGGATATGTTGCAAAGAGATGGTTGTAAGTTACCTACATGGGCTTCAGTACAGGCCACTGGCACCTGACTGTGGTCACTGCTTCACATGCAAACCAGCACAGACACATGGATGCAGCTGGAATTTGACTCATGGCTGTGGGCTCTGTGCCTTCCCAGTTTGACCATGGCATAGTCTCAGTTCCTTTCCAGCTCTGAATACAAAGAAATCATGCCTGTGCTATAAAAGCCACCCAAACCCAGGAGCACTGGGACCCCCATGCAGTCTCGCCTGAAGGGCGCGGTTCAACCCACCCTCTTTGTCTTCTTTATTCCACTCACGTGATAAGTTGGATAACAAGAAGTGGACTGTATTTGTGGAGAAAGGTTGTAGTTAAGCATGTCACATTAAGACTCTGACTATATTTCTGCTACAAATTTTTATTTCCAGGATTATCTCCAACCCCTATAATGATAATAATGGGGGTGTGGTAGGAACATGCCAGAACAAATCCTTCTCAGGAAGAACAGCAGGTCTTCTGGGACAGAAGTTTTCTTTGGTTTACAAAAATAGCTCAGATGCATTCTGGAGTCCCTACAATCTTACTTTCAACCATAATGACAGCCCAAATGAAATGCATTATTTGATTTAATACTAAGAATAAAAAAACCCAAACATCCAGATGATGAAACTGAGATTATTTACTTCCGATTCATCCAGCTAACAGTTTAACCAAATAATCTGTTCTTCTGACTATCCGAGCTATTGCTTTAAATGAATACTCTGCAATTACCTCCTTGGAGAACAAATATGCACAGGCTGGTGCGGTGTAGATGTATTGGTGTATGTATTGGTATGGGCGTATATGTATATATGCACATAAATTCTTTTTCTGAATATGAGGATCTGATGGAGAATGTGTTGTTAAACTGTAACGGAGTCTGGCATTTTACAAAATAAGCAATATGAGCACATTTTTAAAAAACTGCAGGATTTCAAATGTAAAATTGTTCCACTGGTCATATGGTCAGCTAACATATTAATAAAAGCATGATGCATATCAAATGAAATACACATAGCTCCTGGCTTCTGTGTCAGTAAAGTCAATGTCTGTAATGCTCACCCTGTTAACAGTGTTTTGCAGAGAACCATGATGTGGCTGTTTGTTACCATTGCTTGTTTAATGTGCAGTACTGAAAAGTCAGAAGGACTGATTGGAATGACAGATGCGAGCCCCGAGGCGTTCATGGATGTTGTAAGTCGTGTTTTCTGCCCGTTCTTTTCATGTTATGTGATCCTCTCATCCTCCCCCAAAAGCTCAAAGCTAGGCATGCAAGTTCTTTATGGTGCCGTAATATGTATCAGCATATAAGCACCAGCTTTCTACACTGGGCAAAACCCACGGTCTCCAAAACCCACAGTCTCCACATACATATCTTTACCAGGGTTTGGTTTAGGTTTTATTAGAACTTTTTTCTCCCTGAGCTTATGTATGGAGCAGAGGCTTATGGGATAGTTCAGTCCAGGGAGAGTTAGGCCAAAACAGCCTTCTCAGGCTTGGAGGTTGCCTCTCATTGCTGCTCAGCTCTTCAGAAATGTTGGTCACAGAATACAAATCTACTGTGTGCTTTTCTTTATGAATTATGCTCAGGGAGTGAAGGAAACTCACACCTGCCAATCATTTTAGCTGGAATCACGACATCACAGCAAGCATTGGTGAAAGGGACCTTGGGAGGTCCCTACTCCACCTGCCCACAGCAGGAGTCACTAGAACTGGGGCAGAATGGCTGTGGCTTGGCCCAGCCGAGCACTGAAAGCCCCCAGGATAGAGATCCCCCGCCTGCCTGGTGGTTGTCTTACTCATCTTTCCTTCTTTCAGGGTGAAATTGTTCGCTACCATGGATACCCCTACGAGGAACATGAAGTCGTGACAGATGATGGCTATTACCTCATCGTGCAGAGAATTCCTCATGGCAGAGACAACCTGGGAAGTACAACTACCTCCCATGAAGCAGAGTCGCAAGGCTCCAGCATGTTCTGCCCCAGTAAGTGCCAGAAGAAAGTCTGCTTGGTCCCAGGGCCCTGAAAGCTTTGCTTGGGTAGAGTAGGCCATTGGCAGGGCTGCTTCATCATGGGATTCAGAGAGCCAGGGGAGACTGGGTACTCAAGGAGACATCCTTCCCTGTTGGATTAGCCTCAGGAGCAGAAGAAATGTATGTGCCCATCATACCAGCTTTGTTGTTCTAAGAGGATACTCTTTACAAGAGGAAGAAGATAAGGAGAGTGAACCTAACAGAGAAATCTGGCCCCAGATTTTACACCTGTTCAAAGTCAGCCCAATCCATGACCTAAGGTACAAGGGAAGCTAGAATATGGGCCCATGCATCTGTAAGGAATTCCTTGTGGAATAGCTAAGAGCCATTTGTCAGTAAAAATAAATCATCTGTCAAATCTAATGCCATCTTGCCCTTTCTACTGCTTCTGGCTCTTGAATTGAACCACTATTTCAGAGTGGAGAAAGTGATGCATACCTGGCAGGACCTCCCTCTCCTGTGAAATATGAGGGCTGGCATATGAACATGATAAGTAAGTGCAATAATCCAGATTTCTGTTCAGGTTACTTTTTTGTCTTCAGCTGTCCATGGTGGAAATGCAAGTCTTAAGCTGAGGGTCTAAGAAATAACAAAACAGAGAGAACAAAGGAAAAGCAGAAAAAAGGGTCTTTTAATCCAATCTTTTCATGCTGCAACCTGGTTGTAGCTCTACCATATGAGTTTGGATATCCCTAGGATGACCCTACTGTAACTAGGAATTTGGACACACTTTGAGTATGGGGTTGGAGTACAGACCTCCAGGGGTCCTTTCCAACCTAAATCTTTCTCCACTCTCTCCTTCAGTCCACTAACCACTAAATCTCTTCCACTCTCTTCCTATGGCACATCAGGCTTTTTGGTCTTTTGTGAAAAAAGAGGTCTTAATTTCGTCCTGAGGTGCTGCAATCTTGAAGTGGGCAGAAGTGGCTCGAGAAGGTGTTCTTGATGCCTCCAGGATCTGTATCTCTTTCAGTGGAGCAGGATGGGTGTTTGTTGTGTCATGAGAGAAACATGCATGAGGGAGGCAAGCCTAGATTGTGCTGGCTTTTCAATATCTCTTGGTCAGACCCAAGAGTACCTGGGTCAGAGAAAAGGCATCATGAGGAAGGAGGTTTCCATGGAAGGGGCACACTCAATGTCCAGTTATGTTCCTGGGAGCACGATTCACCAGGCTCCATTCAGTGTGGAGTCCCACCTTATTTTTCAACTCCAGCATATCATTTTTTTCTGCCCTGGGATTACCAAACAGCCTACTCATTCACCAGAAAGAAAATACCTTTTTGAAGAAGCTGAGTGTACAGTGCAGTTGAACCCAAGTTGGGTGCTGCCAAAGTGATATGTGGAGTGTGAATGGTCTATTACGTTACCTAGGAGAGAAAATGATCCATTTCTTCTTTCTTCAGCTCCAAAGACTGTGGTGCTCTTGCAGCATGGCCTAATGTTGGAGGGAAGCAACTGGGTTATTAACTTGCCCAATAGCAGCCTCGGCTTCATCCTCGCAGATGCTGGCTATGATGTCTGGATAGGAAACAGCAGAGGGAACAGCTGGTCAAGAAAACACAAAGAGTTTGCATTTCACCAGGAGGAATATTCAGCTTACAGGTATTTTCAAGGAAGCTGCAAAAATGCCAGTAGATTTGCCTGTTTTGTTTCACAAGGTAGTACATTCATAGACTGGAGCACCACTGACGGAGCTATATGATCCACTGGTGGGCATACACTTACATCACCATGACAAGATATGCGCCCATATGTGCTAGAGCCCTAGACAAATCCCCAAATATTCCTTCCTAGTGAGGCTGTGAAGTGCATAGACAAGCATTTTTGCTCTTTCCTGCAAACAGAATACAGATTCATGTTCAAATGGTGTTCATCCAGCCTCTAGGGTTCCTCCACATGACAGAAGCAAATGGTAATTTCCACCGTAAATGGTAATTTTCCAGTGAAAATCTTCTAAGACAATAGCAGATTGATTTTGCAATCCAGAGGATGAAGCACAAATCCAATATTCATGCCAGTGGGAATGCTCAACAACACTATTTATCATGTAGTGCGTGGTGCTCTCAACACCCAAGGCCAGCAAGAGTGATTTTTTTATGTGCCCATCTTCTTTGCAGTTTTCATGAAATGGCCATGTACGACCTTCCAGCAACAATCAACTACATTCTACAGAAAACTGGACAGGAGCAATTATACTATGTGGCTTTCTCTCAAGGCACCACCACAGGTATTTATGAGGAAATCAGGGCACTGTCAGAATTGTGTAAGCCGTGCACCTCATGAATGGGAGTATTTTCCCTGAGAACATAGTGGGGGAAGATAAACATCATAATACATCATAACAATGAGGGGAGAAGAGCAGATAAAAATCCTGGTTTGCTTTAACAGAGCAGTTTTGATGGAGGCAATTTAAAAGGAATTGCAGCAAAGGTTTCTGACGTAACCCACTGCTGTCAGATACCTGTTTTCTGACAGGTATCTGACAGATATCTGGTATCAGGTATGTTTAAGAGGGCCTGTGGGAGCTGCAGCTGGAGTGAACTATCAAGCTGGGAGCTGAAGTGAGTTGGCAACACAGGTTTCAGGTCACATCACCAATCTGCTGTAGCGCTGACAAAGTATGGCAGCCTGCAGTGGTACTTCCAATCAGCACATACATCTAGGAGTCAATAACCCACTCAGAAATAACAGGGCAAGGTTTGACTCCTTCTCACTCTTGTAGGTTTCATTGCATTTTCTTCCATTCCTGAGCTGGATCGCAAAATCAAGATGTTCTTTGCGCTGGCTCCTATTACCACAAATTCAAATGTGAAGTCACCCTTGGTGAAGGTGTTTGACCTTCCTGAGGCACTGATTAAGGTATGTCCTCCTCATACACTCACTGACTCTGCTGCTTCTTTGGGCCTATAGTACAAGGCCAGGCAGGAAATGACTTGGAGATCATTAGTGAAGGAGAATGAAGAACAGCATTACCCTTTATTGCCAGGAATCTTTTGGGCAGAAGAAAGCAGAAGGGTCTAAAAGTTTGGACTGGTGGTCAGTTCTAGAGTTAGCAGTCCAGAAAGGTCTCAGCAGAAGTAAAGGTTTGCAGAAGCATATGAAATAAGTGGATGAAGGTGGGAACGTGAAGGTCTCAGCACCCAAGATGCACAGTATTTATATGTCACTTCCATTTCTTTGCCCTCTGTATTCCCTTTGCTTGAGTTCATTTGTTCTGAAAAGGCTAAATTTGTACCTATACTCTTGAGACTATGATGCATTAAACCATATGAAACCTCTTGCTGTCCAGCCCTGGTCAAAGAGCTATTTCTAGATATGAATTCTGGATCCTTCTTGCTAGGATAAACCACCCTCTTTCAGGGCCCTGATCATTTTCGAAAAGTCAGAAAAGACAGAATTATGAAGCGTGGCAAAGCTATGGGAAGGCAGACAGAAATTTTCAGGAATGAGCAGAGAACTGGGAAACATCTGGAAGCTAAGAGCACGGGTCTATTCAAAGGGTGGAGAGGGAGCCGCCAGTCTTGCCTCCAGGCCAACTGTCATGCTCACACAGCAGGCGTGGGAGCATATATACTCAGTGCTCAAAGCTGTCTCTGTGTTACACATTAATGGCACAGCGTATCATGCAGACACCAATCAAAGGCAGATGCAGGGCGAGTTCGGGTGGTTTGAGATGTCCCAGTAGACAGAGCTGCAGCCACAGCTTTCCTGATCCACAAGGCTCACAGCATGTCCCAGAACAGCCTGTGTCGGGGTCAGCCACATGGCATCAGGGCCTAGGTTCCTATCTTGGGAAACCATCTCCAGAGGTTTGTCCTCTCTTTGTGGGCCCTCCTCTGAGTGCCGTGAAGGATTTACATGAACCAAACTGATAATGCCTTTGGATTGCACAGCTCATTTTAGGACGCACCGTAATCTTCGGAAGGGGGAAGATCTTGCAGCAGGTGACTTCGCATCTGTGCAGCTATTCGATCTTTAAAAGCTTTTGCTCCTTGGTCCTTTACTTGTCTGGTGGGTTTACCAACAACTTAAATGTGGTATGTATACTCTAGATTCCTTCTTAAGTGACCTAGTTTCTCATTGTTTGAGCCTAATGTGGATGTGCAATTAACTTCAGGAAAGGAATAAGTATTCTGTTCTCATTCACTTTCAAAAATGGGACAGACTTCTGGGTTGGCAATGTTGCTAACTTTGTACTGCAGGCATCCCAGAATAGAGATGGGATGGGATGCTCCAGGACCTATTGGTTTGTAAGTCATGCGAAAGACTCAAAGACTTGAACCACGTAATGCATCAAATGCAGCTAAACAATGCTGTAAATTAGCTGCATTCTCCTGACCTTTTACATCTTTCATTCTGGCAAAAAATCTGGCCTTTTACACCTGCTCTGAAAGGCTGGAATGCTTTTGCACTGACACCACAGTGACATGAAGAGGGAAGCCCAAAGCGCACATAAAGTCATGGGTTCACTGAGCTTGTTGTGTTGCTGAAGCGGATGATGCAGAAGGGGAGAGAGCAGGAATTAATTCAGTATTCCCGGGACTTCTGTGGGGTTTTGTTTTTTTTCACTGAGCAGTTTGTTAGCTCAGAGATGTTTTAATAACAAAATGAGTTATTATGAAATTAATTTCCCCCTTCAGTTGACTGGTAAGAGAGGTAGGCCCTCAGATTCTTCAGACTATGATCCCTTAAAACATATTTAACCCCAAATATAAGCCTTTTCCTGTGCTCCACTGCACTGAATACAGAGTCATAGAATAATTCAGGCTGGAGGCACCCCTTGGTGGGAGTCTGTGATCTGACCCCAGTTCTAGTAGGGCCAACATCGCAGCTAGAGCAGGTTGCTCAGGGCTGTGTCCAGGAGAGTCTAGGCCCAAGGACAGAGATCCTCCATCATTCAGGATCTGTCCTGGATGGCACCATGCACATGGGGAAAGACTGTTTCTTTCGGTCCCACTGGAATATCAAGGGCTGTCTGCAGTTTGTGTTCATATGGAGTGTGGCTGAGTGGTGCCTTCACAGAGCTAAGATGAAGTGATTTGTGTGAATAAAAGATCCAGCTAGCCTATGTGAGTGAAAGATCCATTTTGTGGCTACTGAATTGGGTCAAATTTAGTTCAAATGGGATTCTTCTCCATGCAGAGAATAATTCTCTCCAATGTGTTCTTGCAGAGCCGCATAGATGTCTATCTGTCCCACTACCCAGATTCAACATCCCTAAAAACCATGCTACATTGGCGCCAGGTAATATTTCCTGCTGCAGAATAAGATAAAGTGCAACTAGGGCCCAGGTTTTCTTCTCCGTGCTACCAACAATGTCTTCTCAACACTTAGGTATAATTCCTGCACTGCTCTCTCTGCATATTACCGTTAGAGAGAAAAGGGAAATCTGACATGAAATGGTGGTGCAGATGCAGCTCTTTTGACCATGACGTTCAGCAAAAGATGACCCAGAGTATTTGGAGCTGGCTGGAGCTGGAGCTGGAAGCAAAAGACTGCAAATAAACCAACACAAGATGTTAGAGTAAAGGCTAGGAGCTGAGGGGTCAATAGAGTCATTATTAATAGCTACTAACCATTGAAAACATACATTGATGCATATTCTTCTGTTGTAGACATTCACCATGACAGTCAAGGGAAATTTGCCCAAAGGCCTGAATTACACCTTATTTGAAAATAGCTCTTGGTTGTAGTCTGGATACCACCTTGGGTGGCAGAGAGACCTCAGCCTCCAGACATTTACACTCAGGCTCGCCAGCCACCCTGGATAGTAGGAGGGCTGGGAGCAGCAGGTTGCTCTGGGCAGCCTGTGTGCACGCAGAAGAGACGTGACCCATGCCAGACGAATTTTCAGGCCGTGCTGAGTTCTTCCTGGTGGTCGAGCTTTCCTCCTGAGAGGCAGTATCGCATGTGTAACAATTAGTGTCACCAAGGCATCATGGCAGAATTGTTCCACAGGAGCAGCATGGTTTCCTGGCCATCTCCAACTGTGCAGCTCCTGCCTCTGACAACCAGCAGCAAGCTCCTTGCTGGCCCCAGGGCTGCCCAGCCTCTGGCAGAATATGAGGAGAAAAGGAGTTTGTTACACAGAAGATGCCAGGTCTCTTCTTCCTGCACCACAGTGCAGAGACCAACATACGCATAGACAAAGGCCAAGTCGGCTGCTCGCAGTAGCGCAGTCTGCTGACACAAGATAGAAATTTGATTCCTGTAGACATCACAAGTGTTTTTCTGATCAATTAAGTGAAAACAAATCGCTATTTGTTAGTAACATCATTTTTATGGACAAAATTCCCCCTCTTCAATCCCAGAGGAACTGGACCAATCCCTGGTCCTCTACCTAGATTTGAAATGACAGCACACTCAACGTTTCAAAAAAAATCCTAAAACATTTCTGTCCAATTAGTCTGTCAATTCGTTACAAGTTTTAAGAGAAATACATAATTTCTAAGCTATCAGTTAGCACTCTGAATTTGTCCAGCTTTTTTGCTCTCAATAGAGTGAACAATCAGAAATTGTTTTTCATTGTGATCTTTCAAAATATGCAAGGGTAAACCAGTTGTCCACTCTTTCTCATCTGCTTTTATCACTCTTATATTCCCCTCAGATACACAGTTAGTAAACATATCTCTCTTTCCTTTCCAGCTCTATCTAACAGGGGATTTTAAATATTATGATTATGGCAAGGACAACATGCTGCATTATAACCAGGTAAGAGAAATCTGTTCTTATTTGTTAATTTTTAAAGAAAAGCAAGAAAATGACAGTGAAAATATTCCTGTGACTTGGACAGAGTTAGGCTGGGATTTATGGAATCTACCTTGCATAGTCAAATTTATACCTTTATTATGAAGAAGAGTTCTGTGATGTTTTTCAGTGCTGACTTTTTGACACTCTGATGAAAACTGTGGGAGTGCAAGGCATAGTCAGGATCTCCAGTGATATTTCCTGTGTCATCTCTCTGGATAGGCAAGAAATTCCAAGCAGTAATCTAGCAATGCAGAAATACGTTATGTTTCAGACTTGTGCATGACTTTCCAGCCTTTCCCTTTTCAAGCTATGTTATTTGTCTTCCAGACCACGCCTCCCTTCTATGAGCTGGAAAATATGAAAGCACCACTTGCTGCATGGTATGGTGGCAAGGACTGGATTTCAGCCCCTGAAGATGTTAATATAACATTATCTCGTATAACCAATGTGGCATACAAAAAGTATATTCCTGAATTTGTCCACCTTGATTTTCTTTGGGGTATGAAAGCATATGAAGAAGTGTACAGAGAAATTCTTGAACTGATGGAGCAGAAACTCTAGAGTTGGAACAGTGGCAATAGTTGTTGCGGTCTCATTTATCTTCTGGGGCTTCATTTATTTTTTAAAAAATGAGGAAGAAAAAAGAGCGGAAAAAGGTTTATTAAACTGCTACACTTGTTATGCATTTATATTACTCTGGCAACTGAGGTAAAGAGGCCAATCCACTGGTAGGGAAATCATATAGGATTTGGGTTAAATAGGTTGGGGTCTGTGTGGAAGTTTGGCATGCCCTTTGACCCTGAATTTCCCAGGAACCTAACACATGTGGATGTCCAGGGAGACGTGATTTCAGTGGAGTTTGGCACCTGGCCACTGTTGTGGGGCTCTGGCTTCCCTATGCTTTAGTTTCCAGCTGCAACATCAGGGTGGTAGCTCAACTCTGTCTGGACGCTGTGGTTTTATGAGAGTAGGTATGCTCAGATAAGACCACATGGTGAGCCGAGCGATGGATCAGTAAATGGGTGTGTAATGGGTAATGGGTACCAGTGCAGCTTTACCCATTTTCTGGCGACTCTTCTACATCAAAAAACCCAGTAATCTGAAGTTCATTATTTTAATTTATGGTTTGAAGAAGCTAGAAACGTTCCGCCCGGTGAAAATGAAAAGAACAGGTGTTTTTCAATGAGAACTGTCCATTTTGCTAATGTAGAGAACATCTTTCTTAAAATGCATATTGATTCACCTAATACATAACACTATCAGCTCATGCACAACAGGTTTTTCAGGAAGTTCTACTAAGAAACATCATTTTGCACCATTTTAAGGAATATTCCCAAGGCACAAACCCAGCAGAAAAGGTCACCTTTTGCTGACTTTCAGGAAAAGCTTTTGTTTTCCAAATCTGCGAGAGAGAAGGGTCTGGTGGAAGCCAGGAAAAAGTCTAACTCTGTTTTCAACTTTTGAATTATGCTTCATAGGGGAGGAATTATGAATTTGGCTGTTTGCACAACTTTATTTTTAAAATATGTCTAGGAGCAGGGCAAAGGACAAGGCCCTCTTTCCACAAAGATGTACAAATAATAATGAAGTAAAATAAGATCCACTGAGCTCTGTGTGTCTGTATTGCCTTAAACCTCTTGAGGAACGTGGTGATTTTCAGCATAGGTCTTTTGCTGTGGGCAAGCAAAAGTGAGCTGCTTGTCCAACACTTCCCATGTTCAGGGGTAGCTTTCAGTGGGTGCAAATGCCCACCAAAATGGTTCTGCTGTTTCTGAGAGCAAGGCTGGAAGGAAATGCACTGCATTGCAGTATATTAAATAACACTCTGGTGGTGCTTGCCTGGGAAAACTTTGGGCTTTGGAGCTGCGACTTGAAATTCGTCCCAGTGACCTCTGTGGCAGAGATGGTAATTTTGTTATCCTCTCAATCCCAGCCCAGGCTGGGCCAAACTCAACAAACCAAATTTCACACTTGGTTGGTGGAGACTGGCTGAAATTTAAGATAATGTCTCCAAGAAGTGTCCCTTTGTTCGGGATCTCAAGACTCCCACAGCCCCCCATGTAATAGCCACTGTGCCCCAGTCCCTCAATGTGACCAACAGCGCTCATCCCATGCTCTATGGGAAGGAGATCAGCTTCTGGAAGGCAAGCTGGAAGGTGGTGGGGTGGTGGGGGATTTGAGCTTAGCATGCTGCTCTGCAAAGCCAGGCTGAGGGTCATAGCAATAGACTGTGTCATCCAGGTGTCTGGAGACAGGGGAGAGGGCTCTTGGTGCACATCCATGTGGGAGGACAGAAGTAGGCAGTATTTGAGTCGAAGGGAATCGTTAAGGGAGACAGGTTGTAAAAGGCACTCTCCTTCCACCCTTACAGCAAGAATTGACCAAAGAACGAAATTAGCCTGTGTTAGGTTAGGTAATTGTTGGATATAAAAATTAGGCTATAGGTTAGATATGATCTATCTGGAAATGTGGTGATTAGGCACCTCACTTGGTATATTTCTAATGACATATGTTTTTATGTGATTAACTACTTACTGTAGGGCTCTGCACTACAGCAGCTTTCCTCCAGCATTGTATTGCATTCGTGCCATGAATGTCAATGCAAATGCAGGAAGACTCTCATGTCACAGAATGGTTGAGGTTGGAAGGGACCTCTGGAAATCATCTAGTCCAATCCCCCTGCTCAAGCACAGCCACTTAGAGCACATTGCACAGGACCCTGTCCAGACGGGTTTTGACTATCTCCAGGGAAGGAGACTACACAACCTCTCTGGGCAACCTGTTCCAGCGCTCAGTCACACTTACAGTCAAGAAGGTTTTCCTCATGTTCAGACAGAACTGCCTGTGGTTCAGTTTCTGCCCGCTGCCTCTTGTCCTATTGCTGGGCACCACGGAGAAGAGACTGGCCCCATCCTCTTGACACCCTCCCTTCAGATACTTGTACACATTGATCAGATCTCCTCTGAGTCTTCTCTTCTCCAGGCTGAACAGGCCCAGCTCCCTTGGCCTTTCCTCATAGGAGAGATGCTCCAGTCCCTTAGTCATCTTTGTAGCCCTCCGCTGGACTCACTCTGGGAGCTCCATATCTCCATGCCCAGAACTGGACACAGTATTCCAGGTGAGGCCTCCCCAGGGCTGAGGAGAGGGGCAGGATCACCTCCCTCCACCTGCTGGCAACACTCTACCTAATGCAGCCCAGGATCCCCTTGGCCTTCTTGGCCACAAGGGCACATTACTGGCTCGTGCTTAACTTGCTGTCTACCAGGACTCCCAGGTCCTTCTCGGCAGAGCTGCTTTGCAGCAGGTCAACCCCCAGCTTGTCCTGGTGCATGGGGTTATTCCTGCCTAGGTGCAGGACCCTGCACTTGCCCTTGTTGAACTTCTCTGCCCAGCTCTCCAGCCTGTCCAGGTCCTTCTGAATGGCAGCACAGTCTTCTTGTGTGTCAGCCACTCCCCTCCG